GGGAGTATGATTATGGCTACACACGTGTTAATGATATATAAATATTTGAAAACTTTTGGATGTTTTAAAAACTTTTAAATTTTATCTTATAAAATACTAGTTGATAAAAAATAAAATATATAATAAGTTAATAAATTATATTTTAAATACTATAATTAATTTTTAATAAAAAATAATTTATCTGATCATAACCATACTTTCAATTAATATCAATGTGAATAAATAGTTCCGTGACATCTCCCATTTTAATCTGTGAAAGAGAAATAAAGGAGAGATGAGAGGCTTAGGAGGAACAGAAAGCAGAAGTGTTTTAAGACAAAAATAAGTCAATCATGTAGGCAGATGTGATTCAAGATATGGGATAAGTCAATTGCATCACAATACAGCTGCTTTTGATCAAATTTGCGTGAACAGTGCTTAGACTAATGTGTTGAGTCAGGAACTAGAGTACTTGAAACGTAACTCGTACTTCATTAAACTTAAATCCTCTCATTAAAATAACAAAATTTATTTGTTTTTTAAGATTGTCAAGTTCCTTGCAAGCTTATCAAGTTCAAGAACGAACACAAATCTACACAACTAACTAGTAGCTCTACTAAAAGCGATAGGAAAATCTCTATTTTTGTTCTTGAACTTCAAGATTTATCAGCCATAAATAGATAGAAACGAATTAAATTTGAGAAATGTAAGTCTTTTCTGTCCTTTGCATCTATAATTTTTTCCTTAGGAGACTAAATTGAAGCAGCAATAAGTAATAATCAATACTTCAAGATTGAGAAAACTTCAGTCTTCCAAACTTTAACCCCATTTTTTTTGCATGTAGTCCAACAAGGATTCTTGGGAGGCAGTTTCTGAACAAATTACAACTGTGAATCCTGTATTATGCAGCTGATCTTTCCATTACAGCTTCGAAAAAGGCATTGCTGCTTTCTGCTTCGCATATTCATGTGCAATGATCAACGCACTCTTGCTGTGACGCAATGAGAACTCTGCGAGTAAGATTTGTTGTTCTTCCTCTGTCAGATCACCATGCCGACCCTGTAATTGGAATGATGCAACTACTACCATTATTATTAAAGCAGGTAAGGAACTTCTTCGATTGCAAATGCCAGAAGCATAGCATTTCAAAACCCATGCTTGAAGATAAAGCATCTGGTATTTAGCAAATATTATCCTTCCCAAGGAAATTCACAAGGAATAAACGCCAACGGTTATGGCATAATGAATGAAGAACAAGAACAAAGAATAAAGGTAACTCGACTGGCCAAACTAGCATTCTTAAGATTAAAAAATTAACCTACAAGATTATGCTTTTGTAGATACATGAAATTGATAAGAAGAAATACAAAAGAGAAGTCAATTTTGGTTTCTCATGCACATCCAAGCTGAAATTTGTTTCTTGCACGGTAACAAATTCTAAAGGTAAAAGTTGTTTCCAATTAAAATGAAGCCATAAGGTCATAGGTAAAGCAGAGTTGTCTTGTCTCTTCCCAATTAATCACACAATCTTGGAATAAACACAATACTAACAATTAGCAGGAGATAACCAAAGGCATGGTGCATGAGAATGACAACACAAGATTAAGTAAGACCATTCAAATTACCAGGCGAGAAGTTCTGTCACAAACGGCATGGTGCATAAGGATGCCTGCAGCAACGGAAACATTAAAAGAATCCACCATGCCATTCATTGGAATACTACAGTGCAAATCTGACAGTTCCAGGGCCTCATCACTAATGCCCCTGCAATCAAATCCTCACCAACCTTAACCACCACTGAACATCTGAGGGATAATAATTCCCCATCATGCTAGCATCCATGACTTGTAGGTAAATGTTAGTGTTTTACATATTTAATTACCTATTCTCATTCCCAACTACAATTGCAGTGGGGCAAGACCAGTCCATATCATATATGGATACCTAGAAATAACACCAAATAAGTTAGCATTATGTCTAGCAGACAAACAACTATTGGAATCACCAGTACCGGACACTCCATTTATTTAACTCTTATGTATCAGTAGCTGTTCCAAATTTGAGCTTAGAAAAATGGATTCATTCAGGCAAACAAGGAAAAAGATCCTACTTTATCCTAAAAATGACTTTTTAATAAGAAGCACAAATGATAGGGAGAATTGATGAATACTGCATCCATTCCAACATGAGTTGTGGCTATTCGATAGCCACGTGATTTTAGGACATCAAAGCAATCTTTAGGTGAGTTCCAAAGTTCTATGTCCAGCCATTTCTCTGCACCCATGCTAACATGACGGTTATCTCTGTATCTGCAAGAAGTGGAGAATTGAAGCAATCATCTCTTGGAAAATTTTTTAATCTAGACACAAATACATTACGCATAGAACTAGAATATTGATAAATTGATCTGAAAAATATACATTCGATGGTTTAGAAAAGCTTTTAAATTTCACCAGATTAATGATGTAATATATCCAACAGATAGTTTAGATGACAAAATACAGAATATCAATCCAAATACCATTCTTTTTAACTGAAATGTTATGAATTTAACCAAACATTAAATTTCATGAGACGCCTATATGCAGCCTAAACACCAGCAAAGATTCACTGCAGATCCAATATGAGATGATATTTTATGTAGAAGTATGAATGTTATGTAAACAAACTTCGCTCCAAATCCACAATTTCAAACTATTCACAATTTTCAAGTCCTTCCAAAGAAAATATTAACAATTCAAAGACTAATATAACTAATAACTGGCTGCAATACCCAAGACAGGCAAAAATTCAAACAGTAATGATGCATAAAACTGCACCATTTTTGCATTCCTCACCGAACAAAGAAACCTCCAACTCAAAAAATCATCCTTAAGAACTAACTAAAACTAAACAGGTAAATTAAACTAACTAATAATTTTGCAATTTCCCAAAATTAAATGATTATCAATAAAGCATAGCCTTTTGATCTTAAACCTCTTACCACCTTTTCGAGCTGTCACATGATACCACATGAACAGACTGCAGCCCAAGTGCATCAGCAGACCTGAAAGCAGCTGAAACATTTCCAAAATCACTCAAACCCTCCACCACCAAGCACACGGAGTAGCTCCGGCTCATCACCACTCTTTTCAACCTCTGCTTCCTCTCCTCCATCATGATTGGGGCCACTGCCTCCAGCACTTCCTCACTGCTCAGGTACTGGCTCCCACACCTTAACCTATCCAAGTAAGGGAACCACCGGTTATGGGTTTCTGACATGGTCGACCTGCGCTCCATTTTCATCAATCTTACCACTTCATCTTGGTGGGTCAGCAGGTGCTCTACCGTATCTTTGGTAGAATTTTCCGGGGGTTGGTCTTCTAGAGGGATGGCTTCCGGCGGTGAAGTAAAGGGTCTTCCGCGCATTCTGTAGGGACTAATTCTCGTCCATAAATGAACTACAGAAAACAAAATGAACTGAATTTGTGGAAAAAAAAAAACAAAAACAAACTAGGTATTCGTAGACAAGTACAAATGAATGCATATGTAAGCAGTGAGGAAGACGCACGCAGTACGCACCTGAAGAGGGGGGACGAAGGGGGAAAGGAGAAAAAGGTTTAGCGCAGAAAGGGAGTTTATATTGAGATGTGCGGATTAGGGTATTGCAGGCTCTCATCTTTTTCACTCTCCAACCAAAAACAATGGCAGTTCGTTTCGCGTCAAGAAGTGGCAGAGTGAGGTTGAAGCGAAGAGAGGTTGAAGCGAAGATGGGTGGAGGGTTTTGCTGCGGATAGGGTTTTCGAAATTCTTGAAGACGATTGTTCATTTAGACGACGTCGCTTCATTGGCTAAAAG